ATAAAAAAAAACTTGTTATTTATTTTCCTATGATACAACTAAGATAAATTTTTAAAAATTATAAAATAATTATTAAATTTATCAAAAGTTATAAAATAATTATATATAAATAACTAGTAAATTATAAATTAATATATTTACTGTTATGATTTTTTTTATGATTAACAAGTTTTATAAATTTTACACATTTTTTTGAGTTCGAGTTGACAAATAATTTTTTAACTATATAAATATGACCCTACGGTTTAATTCTTATATGTTAAAATTTTGTAATGCTTTTTGATTTATTTATAAAATAAATATGTCGACTAGTCACTAACAAAGTTAGTGGATAACTAATTATCCTTTTTTTTAAATTTGAATATTCTTTTATATCTATTCTAATATATTCATCGATTAATTATTTTATTTTTAATCTTCGGATAATTAATTAGTGGATACATAATATGGACATTTTTACCCTAATAATCAATAATTATATGTCAGACACCTATTGACTAAAATTTATCAATCTAACACCTATTTGCTGACATGGACGGAAGGTGCGGATTATCAAGCGTGCCTTCCTTGGGTTTTCTTCCGAGCTGACGCCACAAGAGTAAAGCGTGGATCACCATCCGCGCCTTCCTTAGGTTTTCCTCTGAGCCGGCGCCACGCGGCAAAAAAGTCGTTCACCATCCGTGTCTTCATGGTAAACCTGACACGCGACGGAAAGCGTGGATCACCATCCACGCCTTCCATTATTCGGGTACTCCATTGTTACCCGAGTTCGACGACTCACCCACCCCCTCTCTTATAAATACTCTCGAATGCAAACATCAAACCACACCAAAATTACTTTCACATTTTTCCTTCTATCAATTCATTCTATCAAACTAAGTAGATTTTGTTATAGTTCTTAAAATGTAAAATTATTTTTATTATATTATATTTATTTGACCAAATTTTGTACTAACTATTTGGTATTACTTTTTGCGGTTGTAAAATGGAAGAGGTGATTAACTCTCGAGACATTTTACCAATACGGTAACAATATTAAATTATGTTATTTAATTTACTGTGATTTTTTTAATTTTTAACATTAGTTTATATTTTAATTACGGTTTAATTCTTATATGTTAAATTTTGTATGCTTTTTGATTTATTATAAAATAAATATGTCGACTAGTCACTAACAAGTTAGTGGATAACTAATTATCCTTTTTTTAAATTTGAATATTCTTTTATATCTATTCTAATATATTCACGATTAATTATTTATTTTTAATCTTCAGATAATTAATTAGTGATACATAATATGGCGTTTTACCCAAAGAATCAATAATTATCTGTCAGACACCTATTGACTAAAATTTATCGATCTAACACCTATTTGCTGACATGGACGGAAGGTGCGGATCATCAAGCGTGCCTTCCTTGGGTTTTCTTCCGAGCTGGCACCACAAGAGTAAAGCGCGGATCACCATCCGCGCCTTCCTTAGGTTTTCCTCTGAGCTGGCGCCACGCGGCAAAAAAGTCGTTCACCATCCGTGTCTTCATGGTAAACCTGACACGCGACGGAAAGCGGATCACCATCCACGCCTTCCATTATTGGGTACTCCATTGTTACCCGAGTTCGACGACTCACCCACCCCCTCTCTTATAATACTCTCGAATGCAAACATCAAACCACACCAAAATACTTTCACATTTTTCCTTCTATCAATTCATTCTATCAAACTAAGTAGATTTTGTTATAGTTCTTAAAATGTAAAATTATTTTTATTATATTATATTTATTTGACCAAAATTTTTTGTACTAACTATTTGGTATTACTTTTTGCGGTTGTAAAATGGAAGAGGTGATTAACTCTCGAGATTTTACCAATACGGTAACAATATTAAATTATGTTATTTAATTTACTGTGATTTTTTTAATTTTTAACATTAGTTTATATTTTAATTTGTATACTATTTATTTAATTAGACGTATTTCAGTTATTATTTTTGCAGATATAAGACTCAATCTTTCAAACTCTCAAAATGAGGCGTACTTTAGCTATTTTTTACCATGATAGGGAAATTTGAGAAGATGAAACAGGCGTTGTCTTTGCATCAAATCATTCTGTCAGTATATCTTTCAAGAGAAACATCACTCTTGAGGAGCTGATCACTAAAATTTCAAGGAAGGTTCATATTGGAAGTACTAGAAGATTATCCTCACTTCAGTACAGATTTCTAACTGTAGTATTTTCGTTAACTTATACAACGTTCAAACTCTTCAACGACGACGATGTTGCTATGATGATTGATTCTCAGAATCAAAATTCAGATGCTGATACACAAATGTATGTCATACTTGTTGAGTGTTTGCGGTTCGTGGTATGTCATTATGCTCCCACTATGGGTTGGCTCAACAAGTTGATCAAGTTGACAGCCTAACTCAAGTAATGTGTAATGATTTTAACTCATTAATGGGAAACACATCCTGGTATCATCTCATCAAGTTCAATGGGGAGACATTCATCATCAACTTGTTACGATCTTTATCGAGGTGGCTCCACGAACAATCCGTATGGCAACATCGCTTCCAGTTCAAGGGAAAGTCATTCATCTGTCAATTTCTTTGACTTGAATGTGAGGATTCCATCGACACAACAATTTGTTCAGTACCCATTTGACATGATGCCTTCTAGTTCCATGGGGAGGCATTCAACTACGACCTTCTTCAACCTCAATGTTGAGATTCTTGCGACACAACACTCAGTTCAAAACCTGTATGACACAATGCCTTCAAGTTCAAGTGGAATGCATTCAACTACCAGATTGTTCGACCTAAATATGGCATCACAGAGAAACCTCATCTCCACCAGAAAAACCTCTTCGACCCACGCTGAATCTACAAGAATGAAACTATAATATCCGCCAAGAGGTGTCATAAAACCATGCAGTGTGGCCTCTGAATCGACTGTGGTGGAATCTGAAACATCTGCGGTGCCATCTGAATCTGTTGTATCCTCATTTGAAACGACTGCGGAATGTAAATCGGTGTAGACGATGATTGATGTGATGGTTTTGGTGCTACAGCTGAGGGTGAATCGGAAGCGCCTGCTCTTCGTCCTATGAGTTGAGGGACGATGATGATGTAACGGTGGACGCTTTTCTCGATGCCGATGAATGCTCCCGCCTCGTCTTCCTCGGAAAGTATGAACAAATTCTCGTTCGTGTTGAACCACTGATAATAGTCATCTGCAACCGATAATGATCCACATAAATCGGCTCCTATTGAGAATACGTCCACATCGATCCTCTTAGATCATTACCCACTCGTTGTGTTTCATCAACCATGTGACTTTTTTTGCCCCATCTATCGATATTATGCAAATTGTCGAGATTCCTAGGTGCTTCAGTAATAGATTGTACGAAACCAAATTGGCACACCATGCGATTAGTGGGATGCCACTCGACAATAGGCCACTCAAGTGAGTTGGGATGCAATGCCTCATTTCTTCAATAGCGTAAGGAGTCCATTAAAACATATATATATATATATATATATATATATATATATATATATATATATATATATATATATATATATATGATTTTTATTAAATTAATATTTTAATTATATAATAATAATTAAATGTAAGTAATAAAATTTAAATACATACCCGTGTACTAGCCTTTTGATCTATGAGAAGCTGAATTTCTTCCTATTCGTCTGGTATATTAAGATGATCATTCTTTATACATGATCAACTATTCAATGTAAAAAAATTTTATATACTTAAAAAACTATATACGGACTTAGTATTGAAATTACCTCAATAATAACATGAATACTAATGAGTTTTTCATCGAATATAAAAAGGGCATCGATACCACGCCCATGATTGTAGAAGAATCGTCGATAGCATTTTTTTGATAATCAGTGCCAAAATCGCGGATCCCAACTGAATGAGCCGGTAAACTTGAAAATCTACTGAGATGACGTAACTACATATAATAAACTTGATTGCAAGATTTATCGGGTATCAAGATCCCTCCTATAAGTCGTAATATGCAAGTCCGGACAAATATTTTAGCATGTTCCTCGGAACAGTCATTGTTCAACTGTCGAAAATTTGTAGCCAACCATAATAACGGTATTTGACCACCGTTGAAATTAGACGGGATACCTCCAAGATACTCTTTGCACAATGAATGTTAATCACCATATGCTACACTAGAAATAACATCTCCATTTATCGGAAGCCCTAAATGTAAGAAAACATCATCTAGCATAATAGTGCACTTCCCACACGGTAGATGGAGTGTGTCTCTGGTCTCCACCTCTCGACCAGTGCAGAAATAAGGTTGAATTTAATGTTACAATACATTTCATATCTAGCTATGAAGATGAATCCAACCTCAGTTAAATACGACCAGACACAATTCGATATATCTAACTTAGCGTTATGAATAAATTGATCTAATATATGATCATTCCCTAATTAAATAAATAATATACAAATTAAAATATAAACTATTACTAAAAATTAAATAAATAAAACATTCATAATAATTAACAGACACAATTTAAAATTATTATTGTATCGATAAAATGACTCGAGATATGATTCATATATAAATACAACAACTTACATCCATTTTATAACCGCAAAACATAAAAGAAATTAGTACAATAAAACATAATAAAATAATAAATTATATAATGATTATAATATAATAAAAATTTAACTTATAAACACAATAACATAACCCATTTGAAACTTGCGAGAATGAATGGTAAAAAGAAGAAGGAAAGTGTTTTTAAATGTATCTTAGAGTTGTACAAGGGGTATTTATAGAAAAGGAGTATGGAATATGTGATAATTAAGAGGGTGATAATTAAGAGGGAGTGACGGGTATTTATAAGAAGGCGCAAATAATATCCGTACCTTTCGTTACATGTAAATTTACCAATACATGGATGGTGAACCGTATATTTGTCGAGTACCGTCAGCTCGAACGAAAACCCAAAGATGACTCAGTTGTTGATCCGCGCTATACCTACGTTCATGTACAAATAAGTGTTAGATCGATTAACTTTAGTTAAGGAGTGTCTGACATGTAGTGATTTTTGAGTAAAAAAGCCTGTATATATATTATTACCGTATTTTTCCCCCCTTTTTGGATCGAATACCGTCTCTTATTCTTAGTTCTTAAACAACATAAGCGTTTTCTTTGTTCTTCCACTTGTAGATCTGTCCGGAGTGATGCGATCTTTGTCTTCGACGTGCACTTGAGATCGTAGAAAGTGGAGCTTAAGGAAGGTAGGGATTTCAAGGGGGTAAACACTTGGTAAAGTGTGGATTTTTCTCAAGGGAAAATTAGTGATTTTTGAAAAGGGGTGAAAGTGAGGATGCTGTGGAGTAATTCTTGAAGAATTCTGTTAAAGATTGGGTTTTTAAATCTAGGTTTCCTTCTTGGATTTCGATTATGGGTGGGGGTGGGTGTTTTCCTTGTTTTGGATCATCAAACAAGGAAGAGACTAATGGTGGGGGCTCCATTAAAGAACTGGGCAAGAAGGATTCAGCTAAAGATGGCTCTGTTGGACAGTCTCATCATGTTAATAGAGTTAGTTTGGGTAAATCAATTTCATTCTTTTAGCCCAATTTTACTTCTGTTGATATGAAATTGTTGGTTTTTGATCAGCTGTTTGAATATGTTGGTAGCTTGATTTGATGAACTTATGGTTTTTTTGGGGTATTTGATTGAATTATATGGCTTATGGATTTATCTATATTTTTAGCTTTGAGTGTTGGTTTTGTTGGTATACTTGTTTGAATTTTACCCTAGCTGGAGGGCCTAAGGAATAGTTTGAGAGATCTGCTTTTAGTTTTGATACATAGGTTTTCTTATTTTGATTTAATTTCTTGTTCATCCATAACTGTTATGTTAAGCTAGAATAATGCTAGTAAATGCATTTTAAGTGAGAACTGGAATGTTCCTGCAAATGATGCAAGAGTGTAGTGAAGGGTTTATAGAGGTTTCTCATTTCATTTTGATGTTAATCCCAAGGTCGAAGTTATAAATTTTGAATTGTATACAATCATATAGGACTTCATAATTGTGGTTGATTTTGTTAGGACGAGAGAGACAAGTTTAAGTATTTGAATCTATCGACGAACTGTATAACAGTGCAAAATTCTCAAGTTATAAAAGGTCCATCTCTGTTTCCGGATGACTCAGTTTTATAGCATTTATACTCTCTTTTACTCTTTATGGTCTCAATTATGGGAATTCAGCATTTAAGTTTTGTTGTGCTCCTTTAATTGTAATTCTAGATATCTTCTTCTTGTCTGGTGTTTCTGATTCACTTATTTGAACAGACAAATCAAAATCCCAGAGTGCTACTGATTCTAAAAAGGAACCTGCAGTATCTAAAAATGGACCGACAGAAAATATTGCGGCCCAAACATTTACATTTCGGGAGCTTGCTGCTGCCACGAGAACTTTAGGCAGGAGTGTCTGTTGGGAGAAGGTGGTTTTGGACGTGTTTACAAAGGTCGTTTGGAGAGTACAGGACAGGTCTGTAACAGCCTTGAAACAAATGCCAATTTCTGTGTGTTTTTAACATTTCCTTATTTTATGGGATTGTACTTAAGTTGCTTGCTTTTATTATAGTCTTGGGATCCGAGTGATGTTAAATATGCTCATATGCAGGTAGTTGCCGTCAAACAGCTTGATAGAAATGGCCTTCAGGGGAATAGAGAATTTCTTGTTGAAGTTCTCATGCTTAGCCTCTTACACCACTCGAACCTTGTCAACCTGATTGGTTATTGTGCCGATGGGGACCAACGCCTCCTTGTCTATGAGTTTATGCCTTTAGGGTCATTGGAGGATCATTTACATGGTAAGGGTGCCCATCTTTTGGTTTTCGTGATACTTGCATTCCTCTAGCTCTTGCGTTGGTCCGTCAACTTAAAGAGTGAATCACATAGTAAATTGCACCGAGTTCGTAGCACTATTTCTGAGTTATGTGTGATGAAGCTGCTTGGGTCAACTTTGGTATAACACCACCTCCTTATATAGAGGTTTTTAAGAGGCCATTAAAAGTTAATACCTTTTAGTAAGATTTTTGAGATTTGAAGAACTATAATGCAGGTAGAATAATCTTTGTTGGACAAACTATTTTTCGTTACTGATTTCCTTAACACCATTTTTAGCTCCCTGAAAGATGATTGGTATATATTTTAATGCACTGCCTAGCCATTAGGCCAAAGTATGGGGTGAGAACTGGAGGGAGAGAAAACGAGGAAACACAATGGGTAGCTTTGATGGTACAAATGACTGATGCTACCTAAATACTAATCCATGTCATTATGCTCTTCCAGGCAAAGGCATCATTTATCGATTTAAGGGCTGTCACCGGAAAAGAAGATGACTTCAAAGATAAACCATCCATCATTGCCAGTCTTCATATATACGCACAGGAAATAAGAGTTAATGCATTTCTCTAACTTTGACTGTTGTTGCTTGTCCTATGGTTCGAAACCAAATGCTTCAGTTACATGGTTGAAGGAAGAACACAGTTAAAAGAATGGATCGAGAGTAGTTAATCAATTTGGAGAATTCATACAGGTAATCCGCAGGCAAAAACAATGTAGGCAGCATGTTAATCTATGTATTTAGTTTTTTTAGTTTCCTGCTACAATAGATGTTGGGAAGATGGTCTTAGTTTTGCCATATCATTGTTGGTCCTGTCTGTGGGGAAAACTTACTAGGTTTGTGTGGATATCTATCTCATCGGTCTTATCGGCAAGTCCGACTATCGGACTCGTATGGTTTGTGTCGTGTATGTATCTCCGAGTCAATCCTGCTTTCGGCTTTATACAAAGGGTTTCATGCTATTGGCATTCATGTATGATCATCACCATCTTATTGCGTAACTACTCGTTTCATTATACTAACATTAATGCATCATCATCATCATCGTGTTCTGTGTAATTTACTTGTTTCCTGTCTCTCACTCTTAATCGTCTACATTGGATTGCTTTCACTTTGATGGTTTGAGTTCCGTTCCTGGAAAGTGTGGTTTATTATCCGAATCCGATTCACTCGAAACTGACAAAACTGAATGTGTTTTAGCTTGTACGAAACAAGATAAAAACTTGCATTATTTTCATATGAAAAGTACACACACTCTTCGTTTAAACATACCACAGAAAATAATTATTATATAATTGTAAAAAAAAAAAACCCTGGTGTTGTGAGGCCATTTTTATCAGTAGAAACTACAAGACAACCGCTACGAACGTATATCTACATTTAAGACCGCAGTCATTAGATTGAATCACACCGGGCTTGAATTTCCGGCAACTTGAGCTCGCCAACCAAGACAGTAAATATACAATGAGTTGAGTGCCATAGCTGTCCCGAAACTTACCGTTCCAGAAATCAGTATAGCGAAAACAGCCTTCATATGGACCTGCAGAAAGACATCAAAAGGTTTCTGAGAACAGCCCGTTGAGTTCCGGTTTCAGGATGCATTTCAGTACATATTCCGCTACGAAGCATTTTAAAAAAAGCATTTCTATCGATACCGTTCATGCGAATTGCTTACGAGAAGAAGTTGATGCTTTTAAATTATTGCTCACCACATCATACAATAGATGAACAGTTAACGTGACGATTGCAAACTCGAGAGCTGCATACGTCCATATATACTCCTTGATTGCTGCAAATGTGCAAGCCGAAACAAATCAATGTTAAGACAAACCGCAACTAATAAAGAAATGTAAAGTTTGAGGCTCGGCCATACCTAAGAGAACTGCAAAGATGGATGCTAAGAGGCCTAGGGCAAATGCAAATGGCGCGGCAATCATATTTGCTTCTCTCTTCATTTCCTGAATCTACCAAATCACAAGGCATGAAATCAATGTTATCAAATCCACATAGGATATGTTATTCTTACTTGTCATTTTTATCTAAGTACGCATGTCCGGATACATATTAGACACAAGGATATAACCCTCTAAAGACCCCAAAAAGCATGGGAAAATTTAACAAAAATTCTAACATACCCGTGCCTAGCACATTCGTTCTACAATCTACACTACACCCGAATATGAGCAATATAGATAAGTATGATTAATAATATATGGTTTTAGCCACATGTTGGTCCAATGTTGCTCCGATTGAAGTGCACCAAAACCCGACACATTAGAATATGGATATTGTAGATATAATCCGAGTCTGAATAACATAGAGTTGGCCTGACACTTTTTGCTCTTCCATGCTTATGAACTAATTGAACCATTAAATGACTTCATTGACTTTGGTAATATTAAAAATGACTGTCCCTTTTTCCCATATATATGAGGTAAGGAAGATAAGATAGTAGGCTATCCCCAACACCAGGTTGAGAGCAGCTTCCGTAAGAGACCTCCGAATTATGAAATGCCCTCCGTGAGACTCGATCCAACAACCTCAAGGTTAAGAACCTTGTGCTCTACCAACTGAGTTGGATGGTCATTTCACTTTGGTAACATTACAATTTAGCAAAATAACAAGATCATTTCCAGTTCAAATTTCTGATAAAGGAACAAAAGCATACCAGTAGTTGCTCAAGGAAGAAGAAATAGCATATCGTGCTAATCAACACGAGAACCACAAAATCCTGCCAGGCACTGCATAATTGAAGTACGCATTTAAGTTAAAACAAGAAAACAGACAGTTCTCAAGTCAGACTAACATAGATAATTATTAACACCATATTGTCGACATGCTCGGCGGTGAGCTTGACATAGAGATCTAAATGAAAGAAAACAGTGCTCGATATATTAAACAAAGATCTAATTCAAGAAAGTATTCGAAGAGCATGCCGTTAGATTCAAATTCATTATCAAAGTGTCATAGTTCAAGATCAACTGTTATTAGATGCAAGATAAGAAGCTGGTACTACCTCACAGTTTCTGATGGAAAACTCTGTGGATTAACGTTCTGTCTATTACCCCTTCGAGCCGTAGTAGGCACCCGTAGCAGAGTTACAGGTAAGTTCCTCACTTCTTGTCCGCATACCTCACAGTTTTTGTTTCCCCTCGTACTAAACCATTTAATGGCGCATGCTTCGTGTACAAGCTGTAGGGTACCTTTGCAGCTGCATTCCATTTTGAGTGTGTTCTGATCATCACATTCATCAAAACAGATTCTGCACACAGCTTCCTCTTCCGGAATCTCCTCCTCATCAGTTTCTGCAGGAACAGGATTGATATCTGCACATTCGCAGGAATAGAAAAACCGGCCTCAAAACTCGGGACAAATAAACCAACAATAATGAAGTCAAAAGTTAAAAAACACAGAATTTCAACTTCAGACCAATTTGCATGGTCATGTATTTGAATTCACACGCGTGTACGACATATATCTGGACATGGTTACTAGGATATGATACTCCCAAGGACCATCAAAATACATAGAAAACCCTTAAAAGGCCAAACATATCGGTGCCGGACAAATACTATACTTGTATCCAGCACTTACATCCAAGTCCGACTAACACGAGTTGAAGCAATGACACTAAAAGGGTACTCGAATAATAGGGATGAAAAAAATAGAAAATTAGTCATTAATGTATTTACCACTACATACCATCACTGTTATCTGCAGGGGACATTCTCTTTACGAGTATCGAAAGATGCGGATCTCACTATAACAATATTTCGTCCGGGCACCGAAAAGGACCTTGAAACCACAGTACGATTTCAAGCAATTGCTTTAGCAAATCCTACACAAGAATTTCAACATTACAAGAAACACAAACGAAATCAAAAACATCAAACCCATAAACCCAAACACAGCATGAGAGATCATCAAACAAAGTACTAATAAATGAACATTAGAAACCCATCTCTGGAAAATCAAGCAAAAACATAACTTGTCTACAAAACCGTAAATATATATAAAGGGAAAAGAAGAACCTGAGAAGAATCCTCAGAAACTCCATTGCTGAAAGCTCCAGCTTCTGCTTCAGTTGCTTGCATTGGTAATTCTTGGACAAGCTCACAAGAAACCCAATGAGAATTGGTGAAGGGTTGACGATGGTGACATATTAAAAGAAGAATGATCAAGCTAATAAGAAAGTAAAACAGACAAAGAAATGAATGTTTTGCTAAATAAAGTGATCAAAGTTGATATTAGACGTAATAAAAAGAGGTAATAATTGAGGAGTTGATAAAATGGTCTGGTCGGGGTCAATAACTTGGGAAGGTGAGAAACTGTCTGAAAGACAGCCTTGCCTTCTTTTCCTTTGCCGCGATGTCTCGTCTTTCATTTCTACTCTCTTGCGATTACATGTAAATATTTTACTCGCTTTCTATAGTCGCCACGTCACTTTTAATAAAATGACTTTTTTTGGTTGAATAGGATACGATAATTATAAGTTAATAATAATTTAGAATTTTTTAGGGTAAAGTACACAAATTACATATGACTATATAATACTATTTTATTAAGTTATTCGACTATTAAAAGTTATAAAATGATCTATAGAGTGTTGTTTTGTTAAGTCTCTCGGTTACTAGAAAGTAACAAATAGTTATTTATCTATTTATTATGTTCCAAACTCGACTTTTATGCTAAAAAATTGATGGTACTCGAAGCTGAACGCTAACTTGTTGAGTGTGATATAATAAAATATGATCTCAGAATCTCAAAAGACTATCGTATCACAGTCATCATGTTAATGTTCAGGTTAAATAACCATGAATTTTATAACGAAAAATAACGAGTTTAAAACATAATAAATAGTTGAGTGACTATTTTGTAACTTTTAATAGTTAAATTATTCAATAAAGTATTTTACCCTTTTTAATCATTCTACACGTTACGTAAATATAGTTGGACAAATCCGAAACTTTTAAACAAAAAATATATTTTTATCATTAAAGATACTTAATAAGTTAGATATAATTATTATTTAAATAAAACCGATCTCTTATCAATAATAAATCATAAAATAACATACATTTAAATAATATAATTCAATCAAAATTGAGTTATCACACATTCATTATCATATACATGTGAGAGTGGTCTTTAACAAATGAAGCAAGTGGGTGAGTTGGGTCCATGGTTTTTATTAAACATTCATTACTCCAAAATAGATAGGAAATTTACCAAAAACGTGTTTAGTATTTTGGATAAATTACGTGTTTAGTATTTAAACTATTAATTTTGATTCATTTTAGTACTTAAATTTTCAAGTTTTTTAAAATCACACTAAAGATTTAGTTTTTTTTTGTTTCATTTTAGTATCCCGTCATTAAAAACTTTAGTTTTTGTTTCATTTTAGTACACACATTCAAACTTTAACGTTAAGTTTGAAACAGATGAAAGTTTAGGTACTAAAAGGGTTAATTTTTTTAACGGTAAGTACTAAAATGAAATAAAAACTAAACGCAATGCATGAATTTAAAAAAATTAAAAATTTGTCTGTCAAGTAATTCGAACACTACGCCGTGTTGTATTCTTATCCGATATCATGGATCTTCTTCGAGTAAATCGTCAAAAACTTCGTCGTTTTCGAGTTGCTTCAGCTTCTCCAGGCTGTCGAGATCGCCCTCGAGAGTGTACACAACCTACAGTTAAATGCAACGTTAAAGCTCAAAGTTCTTAATGCTTCGGGAAGATATTTTCTATGCAAAGAGAGGAAATGCCTGTCGCATTCGAGGTCGGTTCGCTGCGGACTGATGTATGCAAATAGAAGCTACAAGAAGGTTCAACTGATCGAGGTCGTAGTCATCCCCTAGTGTTGGATCGACGAGTTCGTTGATCTTATTCGCTCTGATCAAAGGCATTGCCTGCAAGATCTCGTATGACGAAGTTGAATCATCGGGAATACTCGGGATACCGGACATGATAGCAGAGTAAAATTCAAGAAACCTACCCACATAACAAGGCTTTTCTGCGAGCTATCGAGGGCTTGCCTCCCGGTAATGAGTTCCAAAAGCATTACTCCGAAAGCATAGACGTCGGTTTTTTCGTTTACCACGTCGTCCATGAAGAGCTCGGGAGGAAGGCAACTGCCATGACAAGAAATATGTCTAAAATTTTTACGAAGGGCGACAAATTTTAGGCTCGGAAATCAAGCGGGATTCGGAATTATACACCCAAATGTGCCTTCCACTTTAGAGACAATGTGATAAGTCCATTGATCAGGTAACCACTTTCAAAGACCAAAATCAGATATCTGAAGTTCCATTGGAAACTCAAACCATCACTATCAAACCCACTATCTCAATTTCAACATAATTGTTTTCAACTTTAACATCTATACCAACATCAAAAACACAACAATCTTAGCCAATAAACTTAAAACATACACTAAAACACAACAAGCATCCAAAAATAAAGAGAAATAGGGTAAATCATAAATAGAGAAATGGTGATGGTGAGAAGTAAAAAAAAGGAAAATCAGAAATAATAGAAGAGAGAAAAAGCAAAAGAAAGTTAAAAAAAAATTAAGAGCTTTACCTTCATTTTTTTTAACTGTAATGGTGAAGGGAGGAGAGAAGTGGAGTAAATAGGAGGAGAGAAATAGGGATCGGGGTTGGGGTGGTTCATGTTGCAGAAAGAAAATGGGAGTAGAAAATGAGGTAAATAGAATGATTCATGATTTTGAGAGAGATGAGGGAAAGGGTGAAAGATAAAGAGATAAAATTAAAAAAAAAGAAATTTAATTTTTTATTTAGACCAAAACGATGTTAATTTGATCCAGATTTGATTTTTAATGCTTCAAAACTACATTTTTTTATTACAAGTTCCCATGTCATAATGCCGTTAATTATTTAACGGTAGAATGACAAAAAAAGTTTAGTCTAAAGTTCAGTGAGCAAATTGAAAAAACTGAAAGTACTATGAGTAAAATAGGAGATAAGTAAAGTTTAATGAGTAAGCATGTAGTTTACCCTTTTAAATATTTACAATTATAAGAGGAAAAGGAAATTGAAAAAGTCAGCTCCGCTGTTCAGGCCAAACCAAAAGGACTTACCTTTGCAACCCCAATCGAAGATCAGCAATTCATCGCAGAAAACACAGAGAAGAAGAAAAAATGGCTTCTCTAGAAACCCATTTCTTAGCAACTCTCTTCTTTGCCCCAATCGGAATCCGCCGCTTCCTCTGTTCCTCCTCCCTCCTCCTCAAAAACCCATCTTTGTTCAAATCAAAACCATGGTATTTCTCCAACCCCAAATGGAAAAACCTGGATCTTTACATCCTTGCCGTCGCCTTACCCCTCGCTTCATTCGCCGAGATATTCATTTTCTCCTCCCTTTCCGGCCACTCCACGTACCGTTTCTCCTTCTTCCAGCAGTTCTCCAGCCTCTCCCTCTTCTGGGTACTCATCGTTTTCTTTGTTATTTACGACAATCTCGACCATTCCCTTTTCAACGAGGCTTTCTTCTTTGCCTACGCCGGTATGGCCTTCCTCGTCGAGTATTCCTTCATCGGCGTCGGTGTCACCGGCCTGGGGACCGTCGTATACGAATTGCTCGCTCGTTTGACCCTCCTCTGTGCCGGTTGTTGCTTGGTTTTGTCTGTCAAAAGAACAGCCTTTTTCGCCGAGTTCTTCTTGTCTTTCGGATTGGTTTTCAAAGGCACCTGGCTGTTGCAAGCCGGTTTGTGTCTGTACACCGATGCGTTTGTTCCGAGAGGTTGTAAGAAACTGGAGCTTTTGCCTCGTAGCCCCGATGCCGATGTCCATTGTGAGCTCGAAGAAGATGGGTTGAGGGGCGTGGCTCTTGTGAATCTCTTGTTTGCTCTTCACGCAATTTTGATCACGGTTTCCAGTTGCGTAATATTCGGGGTCCTTTCGAGCTCAAAGAAACCGGATCAGGTCGAATCGGACAGCTTATTGATGCGCCCTGTGCATGAACTTGACATGGAATGATGTGTGTATTCTTTTACCGTTTTCATTGTTATTTCCATTAAGCGATGTTCAGATAGTTAACGATGAGACTAAACTGATTGTTCAAGCTACATATATACATATATATTGCAAGCATTACTTATTCTTGCATTGCAGCATAATCATATAACTAGACAGAACTAGGGACTAGGGTCACGGGTTGTTCTGATGGCATTAGCGTGATCATTTTGCTTGCTTCTTTGGATCAATGTTCAACACTAACTTCAATCATCATGGAAGGAATATGCCACTGGGAAACCTCGGTATGGATAGCCGAGTGTGCCGGAATTTCCGGCCGGCGAAAACACGACCTGCAATCACATAACTAATGTCTTAGCTTTAACCCAAGACATCTTCCACCATATGTATATACATGCCATGAAACAATACGTGTTGCATCTGTTTTGAACTCACCATTTTGCAGAAATGTATTGCAGATTATGGTAATCCTTGTTGAATGACATGCTCAAGGAGCTTAAGACTCCATGATATATGTTGTTATAATACCTTGTAATCAAAGTCATCATCACTTACCAGATCATAATGAAGAGACAATGATATTAATGATGTTTTGTCTAATGAGATGCTTTACGAAATACTTTGCCAATCATTACATTGTCATTTATTATAATTTGATAGTCGAGTCGTAAACTTGTGTTAATAATCCAATCGAAACGAAAATCTTAATTAGAGTCGATGATTCAATTATAACAAATTGATGATATAAGTGGCTTAAATGTAACTTTATCAATTTCATTTGAATAAATAATTAATCAAATAATTAAGGATTTATATCAATCAGTATGAAATTATTTTAGATTAAATAAAGTATAGGACTTCAAAACATTAAATATTGAATGAGAGAATTTTTTATATTTATAATCGTATTCGATTTAATGGGACAAAAATACTCCTGAATAAACTTAGAAAAGGTAAATTAGGGTTTAATACTTAAACTATTAGTTTTGATCTGTTTTAGTATCCGAGCTTTTAGTTTTTAAAAAATCATGTCTAACGTTTAGTTTTTGTTTCATTTTAGTTGCCGCCTATAAAAATTTAACATACGGGCTCGTTGGACATCATGTCTACAGTCGTCGACTGTCCATTCGTCGGCCGATGAAGTCCAAACTTTCCAAGTCACACCTTTTTTTTATAGAGAAGCTGCAACGAATGATAGAATGTTGCTCTCGTTGAGGAATCAAACCTAGAAAGCTCTAGACTCGATGAAGACAAGAGGAAGAATTTGAATGGAATAAGATGATGATAGAGTTGTGGAAGATGGAAATATATGGATAATTGTCCGATCGAATCTTCCTAATCGCAATGAAAATGCAAACTCGATAAATGACTCTAACCAGCCCTCCTAATCGCAATGAAGAGACAAACCAGAATGTGAAGATCTCTCTCACAAATAACTTGAAAAGAACATAATGAAAAGCAACTTCGAAGGTATAAGTAGTCAACACTTACAAAGATAAACTCTCAATGTATTGTATTCAAAAAAAGATGTCATTGCAATGGTGAGAAGAACCTCCTTTATATAGGGTGAAGGAGTCTTTGTTGTAGTACGACTAATTTTTGAAAATAATAATAAAAATTCAATCTATGATGATAAAAGAGAGTAAAGTTCTGTTACCAAAAGTATAGTTACCCTTAGTTCATTTTCTGGTATAATTAGTTAGCTGCATGCATGCTTATACAGCTTCCTTGACGTGGCCATGCATGTTATGCGTCTATCACCACTTCATTTCTTTTACTTCCAATTACGTGTTTTCAAACGGTTAGTTTAAGGGTAAACTAAGTGTTTAATACCTAAATTATCAGTTTTGGTCAGTTTTAGTATTTAACTTTTATCTTTTCAAAATCATATCTAACATTTAGTCTAGTTTCAAACTCTGATGGACAGACACCAATCTGAACATGGATCGTGAGAGAATGACGAGTCGATCAACATAGTCCAGTTTCAAATTCATTAGACGATTGACCATGGAGATCAGAGGATGAAGAAATCGTAGAGTATATCGTCGATTTTGGGAGATTGAGACATTTTCCAATAAAACGGAGGTCGAATCGTATTCAGGGGATCGAAAACTTGCGAGCTGGAGAGTTTAGATTTCATCAACCGACAAATGCGACGGCCGATGATTGTAGACGTGACAAAGGGTGAGTTCGTCCGTTAAGTTTTTAACGTGGTTACTAAAACAGATTAAAATTATAATTTAAATACTAAACGCGTAGTTTACCTTTAATTTAATTAGATATCAATTTGAAATAATTAATATTATATTAATTGAAAAAATAATTGAAAATCGAAATTTAAAAAAAATCCAATTGTTAATCTATCTAATATCTAATTAACTAATCAATTAATTTAATTAAAACATAATTATAAATGCCTTACTTTCAACTTATTGCCCACGTTTTTTTTTATATTAATCTGATGTAAGTATAAGGTAGTATTTAAAGATAACTCTCAACCATTTGACATTGCACGTTCACACTCCTAACATTCTTGATGCTCGAACTCGAAACTTCAAAGAATTAGCAATACTTCATTTACCATTGATGTCGCTCGATTCGTGCGACAACTACAACTTAATTATAGTCGTGAGGGTGAAATCTAGGGATGAGCATGACACCAATTCAAGTATAGGGCTATCCATACAAGTCCAACATTTTAGTGAACTTGGACACAAATACTAGACCCCAAAACTTGAATTTGGACAAGATATTACATTTTTAAATTAAGAGTTCGAATTTGGCTCCAAACATTGAAGGTCTAAGGTAAAATTAGCCCAATATCATAGGTGGGTTAATTATTTAACCCAATACAACACAAAACAAATTATTTAGAGATCTACGAGATTTATTACAGTGGTTTGTAACTCGTCACGTTGACATAATGACTTTCAATAAAATATATTTTTTATTCATATTTTTCATCACGATGTGATAAATTCTAATAAAAATTATATTTTATTGAAGTCAAATCGAAGTAACTAGTGAATAAAAAAATATTATTTGGATAAACTCTTCATGTCGATATTATGAGTTTTCCCTATACTATAACATTTGTCATATATTACAAAATAAATTTCGAACTTGCCTATTGGACCAAATTTTTTGCCCGACCTAGTGGCCCAAAAAAACCGAAAGTCTAAACCCATCTGATTTGACCCATTTTCTAAATTTATATAATATATCGTATCAGTTTGTTTTTCGTATTATTAAATTTATATTATACAAAAATTAAATTATTATAGTAAATATATTATAATATGAATATTA